TGCGAGGGTGCGGCCTACGCCTTCGGCCAACTCTCGACCAAAAGGCAATTGACTCGGCCATTTTAACTTTACTAAACTTAACATGAATAAACTGATCGAACATGACCCGAAGGTTCAGCAAACACATATCGCACATGCAATGGCCGCGGCGAGCGCCCGTGCCCGCCGACGGCTACACGTCGTCTCTCGGCCGAACTAACATATTATCCGACCACTACTGAACAACTCCATATGATTACTGTACTAAAACAAAATAAGACTTAATCACACGGGAGAACCTGATTAATACTGAAGTAACAAGTCTCGGCCCGAGGCTACCCGAAGCTACGCGCGATAGGCGCGGGGGCGCCGGCTGAGGGCCATTTCATCGACTTTTCTTTATATTTACTCAACAAGCTGATTATACTGAACTTAAAATAGACTAAAGTGATCATTTAAAGGATTATAGCTCGAGAGTTGCCGAAATAAAATAAAACTTGTTCGACGATAATCTCACTTAAGCATGTTCGGACTTTAGCATGATTAAATCTGAAATTCTGGCAATTTATCCGAACACTTAACCTTAATTTAATCCTATCAACATGCACCTAAGCTGAAGAAAAGAATACCTTTCAGATCGGTCGACGAAAATCGAGAAATAGGTGTGGCTTCTTGTCGCGTGACTCCGAGCGGTACCAAGCTTAAGCCGTGCGATTGTGATAGAATTTAAGGGAAAATTTACTAACTACTGTATGCTGCTGGAAGGGGACGATATATGCTGAATTTACTTGCTGAAGAGTAGTCTGAATACTGATGGCTTAAGGAGGGAGTAGGTCGCTTATACTTAAGGAATTTTGGGGAAAATTTTGGTGCATCTCCTCCCTTTTAAACATGGCCGATGGGATGATGTGATGATGGTGCAATAACGTGGTCATCTTAGGCTAAAGACACTTGCTTAATTTTTGGTAATGCTTGAGATGACTAATTACCTTAATTGCTTGCCAAATTGCTAATGATGATTGGCCAATTCTTTCCCTTAACCTAAGGAACTTTCGGTTTTTGAACTTAAGCTTTAGGAAAAATATGCCCAAAGCGTACGGCATTATGCCCTAACCTTGTGATTAATTTAAATTAATCACTCAATATATGTTTAATTATTAAATTAAACATAATACTTAATTACCAAAATTATTTCGAACGTAAACGGTACGTCGAAAATATATTTCGGTAATTCTGACTGAACTTAATAAATTCCGAAAATAATAAACAATAACGTTACTATAACGGAATTAAACGTAATTTATACCGATAATATCTCGGGATATTACAAAAGCCTTGGTAGATGGGAGGATACCAGCAACCGCGACCGCGACCGAAATGTGCGATTGAGTATTATGAAGAGTTACCAGCAACCGCGACCGATGGGAGGATCATTGTGCGCCCAAAACGTGCGATTGAGTATCGCAAGCTGAGGAAAGCCAGACGCTATCGCTGGGAGGTTCTAGTTCATTGGGAAGAGTTGCCACCTGAAGAAGCCACATGGGATGATCTTGATGAGATGCACGATCAGTTCCCGAATTTCATCCTTGAGGACAAGGAAGCGCTTGAAGGGGACGGGAATAATGCAGAAGCGCTTGAAGGGGACGGGAATAATGCGAGTCGCGCTTACCATGCACGCAAAAGGCAAGCGCAAGAGACAGCGGAAGTGCGCGCACAGAAGGGGAGTACGCGCGGGGCAAGCAAAAATGGTGCATGCACGGATGCGCGAGCGGTAGGCGCAGCAGTGGCACGGGCGACTGGTGATGACGCGCGTAGTGCGGGCTTGGCGAGCGTGCGCGCAAAAAGGTCGCGCGCAGCGGAGGCACGCGCAGCGGACGAAGCCTCATGCCTCGAGGCAAGCGACAAGGCGGGTGGGGCGCACACACGCGATAAGGCAGCTGGCAGCCACGGCGTTCGCAACACTGCCGATGGGGAAACACGCGCGAGGCACGAAGCCTCAACCCTTGAGGCATGCGGAATGGCGGGGTATCACGCGCGCGGCGGGAGCAGGAGGCATGGGCGTGCGCCGCACGCCTGATGACGATGCACGCGCAAGTGTCGGTGCCCTAGTCCTCAAGGACTAGGGCAAGGAACAAAGGCAGCGTGCAAAGGTCGGTGCCAGGGGCGGCCGAAGAAAGAGAGCAAGAGAGACAAATACTTGATGTGTAAGCCAAGTGATTTAGTTTCCATCTAGCATTATGATTTCTAGCTTAATTAGGATATTTAATATTATATTGCTTTATTAGTTCACTAGGTAGATTAGGTCTAGATATAATTGGTGCCTATATAAAGGCCACCCCCCCATGTTATTTGGAATAATGATTTTTATGAATAGAAATCTGAACTTTTGTTCTTCCACTTTGCTTTAGTTTTCCACCAAAATTCTATTGCAATTTTATTCGTTCCTAGAGGCGCTGTTGTGGC